TCAGCTTTCAAAAATAAGTGGGCGTATACAATTTTCAAAAGAGTCATAATTATATATAACAACTTGCTTATGAAGCGTAATTCAATGATCGTGGCGTTTTAGACTGAGCGACTGCGGCCTGCAGCGCTGCAATATGAGGCGGCGCGGCTGGGTATGACCAGAACTACATGCAATTTCTGTTGCACATACAGTATTATAGCTCCCATTTTTTTTTCAGATTTTTGACTGTTTTTACTAAGCTGCGCTATTTTTTGTCATTTTTCCCCATTGATCTTATTGAGATAGAAGTAGATAAATAAGTAAAACATACATCCAGGTGACCACCAGTTGCAGTTTGATAGTTCCGATCTGGTTGAGATTCATTGTGACAAGTTGTGGCTCGGATGAGAACAGCTCGCATGGCTCAAATGATCGCTCGGATAAGACTTTCGTCTTAAACATTCGCACTTCAGCAACCTATAAAGTTAAGTATGTGCTTGTCACTAATCAGTTTATATCTTCATTATGAAGCGCAAGGTTAAAGATGATAGACTTTGGATTTTTGTGAAAATATATTCCATAAGTTCCCTTTTCTTATAATTTCTCCTCTTTTTTTGGGATTTTCCGACTGATTCAAACAGCTACAGCAAAATTCGCTTACGACTGTCTCCTGAGCTAATCACACATTAAGCTTTTTAGACTTAATGTGTTGCGTGCAATTACACCATATATAAGCCGAAACACGTTTGACTACTGAGTCGCAGCAAGCCAGCATTACAGAAACATCGACCTACCTTAACCTCAATACTAGCATCCGGTTGACAAGCCAAAATCGCTTGCGATCTGTCCCATTTTTGCGTACGATCCGCTTGCGTTCTACCTCTTGTTCGCCATTTTTGATTTCCATGCCGAACGGTCACTTCAAACACATCACCAGCCGCAATTCGTGCAAATCCGGCTATCGCTGGAAACAAAATCAATTTATTGATTGAGCAGGTATTACAATAATTGACTGGTCAATCAATAAAATGTAATCCTACCTTTAATGTCGACAACTATTCGTCCCATCATATTCTGCAACTCCATCTCGACAGCGGCTGCAGCGCGATCGACCGTCTTGCCGGTAAATGCGGCGCGGAGGTCGGTGATGCTGGATGATTTCACTGTAAAAAAAATTAGGTAAGGAAAATTTTTTCAGTTGTGCAACTGCGTACGAGGCAAATTCCCCTAATCGACCAAACAACAAATCGCAATGGGCTCAAAATTCTCAAAATAATTTTTACTTGGTAAGTTTGGGTAGTCCTGGCAAAAACTCACAAAATGCCACTGCTGGACTTTCCCCCTACACTTCCAGTCCAACAAATTTAGTTACTATCCGTCTGTCTAGAGTATGCAAAGTTATTGCAAGTGAAACTGACATAAGTGAAACAGGTAAAACTGGCTTTGGCCGTGATTGCAGAATTCATGGTATTTTACGACTATAAGAAGTATGGTAAATCCTAAAATA